GTGAGTGAGTGTGTGAGTGTGTGTGTGTGTGTGTGTGTGTGTGTGTGTGTGTGTGTGTGTGTGTGTGTGTGTGTGAGTGAGCGTGAGGGAGGGAGTGTGTCAGTGAAAGGGGCTTTGTTTAACTGACTATGATATAGGGCTGCACGATTAATTGAATGCGATTAATCGCGATTATCATGCACATTTTGTCAGTAAAGCCGGTTCTGTGATTAGTAGTAAATCTCCATCACCTGCTTTCAGGTGGAGCAGCATTTACTACACAGAGCCATAGTTCTCTGACAAGCTATGCAAAATCGCGTTCATAATCGCAGACGATATAATCATAGGATTATGAAATCGACTAAATCGTTCGCGATAATGACAGCTGTTTGCATATCTTCTCAGTGAACTACGGCTCTGTGTAGTAAATGCTGCTCCATCTGAGAGCACCTGAAAATACCACATTTGATAACATGTTTTTACTTCAAACTCAATTCATAACGTCAGTCGAGTGTTTGAAATAAATCCTTCTGTGAGATGATGTGGCTTCTTAAACAGAATAATTAAGGCACACAATATTTAATTGAATTCTAAGCAGTGATAATGGCTATGTCGATTAGCATTTTATTATAGATATACTTTATTATGATGAAAATTTTAATAATAAAAACTCCGATAAACCATATATTGCCGCAGTCGTGTGTTTATTAGTCACGTTGAATCAATGAAAGCAGTATAACTGGATTTTCAGCGCGGGTGCGCCCTCTGGTCTTCGGATGGAGATTTACTACTGATCACAGAACTGTGCTTCACTGAAAGATACGCATGACAATCGCAGCTTCTGCCTAATCGCGATTTATTGCCTTTGCGATTTAATTTGGATTAATTGTGCAGCCCTACTATGATGGTGCTGTGACAGAGCTGCTCCCTGCTCCAGGGACATTCAGTATGCTGTTGTCCAATGACAGCTGCCACACACAAACACACATGCAGGCTGAATGCCAGACAGCAGGGAGCAGCGGGACCAGCCTTCCTAACACATGGGGTCTGGGTAAATAGAGGACATTCATTGCTTACAATGCTACGCTATATCCCTCTTACTTAACCATGGCGCTAAGCTCATAAAGCCGCATTGTCTAAACTAATAATCTGGTTATGCAACACGATTATGGATCCAAAATCCCATTTTAAAAGCATTCATATTGAGGTGGAGTGGTTAAAAATCAATCTCCATTACCACTAAATATAGCGCTAATGACTGACTATAGGAAGGGCAGGGCTAAGCAGATGATTTCAAATGATATTACGACACAAGTACCATGGCCATCAGTTAACACACATGCTTAGTTCAGACACAGTGAATCATGACTGAAACTACTGAATAATCCCTGTCAATATCACTAGGAAATTCTTTGTGGCAAGATGTACACGTCATCTTTTCTTTAAGTATTTATAGCCGGAAACCAAAACGGTTGAGTTGTATACAAACATTTAAACTTAACGTAATGCAGTTTTTATATGAACTTTTTAAAGATATAATTATGTTTCTACTCCAATTCACTGCTGAAATATAAATATTCAAATGGTGGCTGTAATAAAGACTTGCTTTTTATTACAGATTTATTCAAGCATACATAAAATAATGAAGACATGACTAACAGGTTAAATAAAAATATAATGAATATAATGTAGTGCATATATATTTAGCAAAATACTAGATGTATTTTTTTCTAGCTAACTAACAAGCTATGGAAATAGCTGTGTCCCATTTAAGGGGCTGCAAAGACTTTAAAGGCCACAAAGGTCAAATCAAGCGTTGTTAACATAACATCTAAACATTTGTTAACATAATGGTTGTACCAAAACCATTTAGGCCAAAACCGAAAATGTATTTATTGCTGTTCCGGTCGCATATTTTCATTGCTGAAATTTCTGTGCATCACTGTTGCAGACTGTAGCAGATCAAGAGACACTATATGGGAGCTTTGGTTTCACTCTCGTTTTCAGCAGATGTCCCTCAAAGTGGCAGCTGGAAAATGAAATCAGCTGAACAACTCAAGAGTAATTTCCTCTAACAAAAGGGTGTGCCAGTCCCAGAGCTTCAGAAATCAAAGAAGCTCTTCAACAAAGGACCTTGGGCATCTCATTCTTCTCTAAACACCTGTTCTCGTGTCAATACCTTCATAGTGTACAACTGCTGAACACACAATATAGCACTCTACCTTGAACTGTGAAATATATCATGTGAAAACGAATTAAAAGATGAAAGAATGAGATGAAATTAAGATGGAGAGTGAGTTTCACTGTCATTATCCATTTGGTTAGTCAAATCCCATGTGTGCTGTGGAGTATGTATTGAATAGCAGCCAAATTTTGCTTTAGAAGAGAGTGAGGGATAGATAAAGGAAAGATACTCAGAAAGATGCTTTTCAGTTGCCAGTGCTCTCAAATCCCATCTACATCTGCAATACTCTCACACAAACATGAACCACACATCTAATAACACAGTAATCCAGCTCTTAGAGCCACCGTCTTCATTTCCATTACTATTATTCTAAACATGAGTCGATTTAAGGCTCTCAATCTCTTTATCTCGTTTGTTATGACATGAAGTACAGAAAGACTAAACAGGACTAAGGTTATAAGCTAGGGTTATTACATACAAAAAGTTCAGGAGCTGATACCAGCAGGTGACATTTCAGAATTTGAGACAACTATTCCGATATCAGAGCAAACTACTATAAATACTATAAAAATATATAATAATAATACACTTTAATATAAAAACCTACAACAGGGTCAGTAAAATTGTTTAAGGCTGCATTTATTTGATCCAGAATAAAGTAAAAAAATACTGTATATATATATATATATATATATATATTTAATTCAATTTATTCCTGGAATGGCAAAGCTGAATTTTCAGCAGCCATTACTTCAGACTTCGGTGTCACATGATCCTTCAGATCTAATTTGCTGATTTGGTGCTCAAGAAACATTTGTGTGCTGCAGTGGTGTGCCGACTTTTCCCACTTTTTACTGTTTGCATTAGCTGAGCACCCTCACTGAGGTTTTTGTTGCCCGTCAGATGTGCATTTTTT